AGAATTGTTGAGAATGGTCAAGAAACAGTAGAAGTTGAAGAAGATGGCCAGTTAAAGTCCTTAACTATAAATGGTAAGGAGCAGCTGCTACGCTTGGATAACAAGTAATTCAACGCACGCATTTAACAGAAATGTTAAACTCTTACAAGCACCATTTGAGGATAAACAGGAACTTTTTTTGAAGATTTCAAACGAACTCTACTTTCAGTATAACTGTACCTAATCTAAAGTATTTATAAACAGCTCATCGGAGCACCTATTTGTCATAGACTTTTGAGTTTATTGTTGGGACCACATTAATAGGACCATTTTTTTTTGTCTTTAAAATTGTTGTAAATTTATGTATGCACTTTGCTTTTTTTATTATTATTATTAAACTTAATCCACAGTGAACAGTGATTCTTTAGTAGAGTTAGGAGAAAATTGTATACTAACACCAGCATGAATCCTGCTTTTTTTCCCATTTTGTTTGAAATGTGAGCCAAGTAGTTTCAGTCTGCTGTGAAGTTAGCATTGCCAGGATGAATCTCTGACAAAAATAATTTCGTTTTTCTCCCCAGTATTGAGTAGTGAAAGATAATAATACTTTAATGGTAATACATTTCTGGTTTAATATAAATTAAGGAAGTTTTCTAGTTGTGCATGAATGCTGGCAGCTTAGCAAGTTTTGAACATTGTTTAAATATGTAATGTTAAGCTTAGGTTTAAAAGCAAAGCTGATAAAATGGGTCTTTGTCATTTGCTTAAAAAATAATAAATGCTGATGTGTTTGGTGCATTCTTTCATGAATGGGATTTGTAGCCTTCTTGTGTCTGTGTATGATTTTTGTGCCTGAAGTTCCAGTGCCAGTTAATTAGCATTTCATTCTATTCATCATAAATGAATGTAGAACTTAATTTACACTTAATTCAGTATAATTTGAGAGTGCTTGAAAATTTTCTTGTTGATGTTAAGGAGTGACTAAGCAATCTATTAAACTATTAATTATGATAACATTTGTGTGAGGTTTGGGGGAGGAACACAGATCAGTATGTCCTAGTTTCATGGATGTATTACTTGATGTAATTCGTTTAAGGAGAGCATGCAGGCATAAGTCATGGAATCATTTTTCAGTTTATGAAATCTATCATGATCCCCATTGATGAGAATTCCAGCTATAAAGAATATTACATTAGACATCAATTTAATTTAGATTACACCAATCTGTTTTATTGTTTTAGAAATGAGCAGTGTGAAAAGCTGCAAGATACATGGGCAATTCTTATGGTTATTCTAACAAACATTCCTACTAACTCGGGTTAATTTGAAATAACATGGAAATTGCTGGTGATTGTACAGTATTTCTAAAGAATATGATCTATTAAGATATTTTAGAAACTGAATATAAGTAGAAGGTATTTTAGTAAACTTTATAGGGGTTTAAAGTAACAAAGGTTAATATTTGAAGACATTTGAAGTATAGAAAACAATGGATATCTTAAATGTTTTTTGTAGAATAAATTACCATGTGCTTCATGTCTTTAAGCAAGGTAGGTATTTTATCATGTGACACGTTGGAAAACAGTTTAATGTATATGTGTGCGTGTGTGTGTAAAATCTAGTTTCCTAACTAGAATTTTAGTACCAAAAGCCTATTAGAAAAAATTCACATAGATGCTACATGATCAATTACTGGTTGATCCAAGTAGTTACCTAATACATAAGATAGTCCGGGGGGGAAAAGAGAGATTGTCCTGAAGTTGTTTTAACTCGAATTTTATATTGTCATAAATTCATTAAGCCAGTATTATTAGAGCAAACTTGAAATATCACTATTTCAAGTGTCGAAGGCTCTAGGTAAATGAAAATGTTTTGCAGACAAAAAGTTGTTTCAAAGTGTACTAAGAATCATTTTGCTATAATTTTTGTTTTTCAACATCTTAGGATGTTTCATGTGTTGAATCGTTAACTCTTAGTTGTAAACAATTTCCTCAGCTTGATGATACTGGTAAAAATTGTTTGAGTGTAAAGAATCTTTTGGTAAACAAATTTTTTTGAGGAGGAGGGATCATACTAAATGTTCATTTACATTAGTCAAAATCACTGTCTTTATTCTGATTTTATTAATAGGAAAATTGTTATATTATTCTATTAAAAGTATTTATTAGACTTAGGATTAAACATATTGTTATTCTGTTAATTGAATAGGAAACGTAATTCCTGGCTTACACCTATAATGGTAAGGATCTCTGGTTACATAGTTAAATTGCTTGGTTGCTAACCCAAAAGGTTGGCAGGTCTATGCTGTATCTTTACAGAAGCATACAGTCACATTTTCTGGGAGTCCTAACCTTTCAATTAGCAGCCAAGTGCATAAGCACTATAAACATGCTTCCTCCTTTGAGACTTTAGGTGCTTTATGTAGCACCAGTATTCTGAGTTAAAATAGTGTTATCCAGGATTTAAATGAAACAAGTCTTTTCAATCTCTTTCACTGTTTTAGAAAGGATTTCATGGCCTATTTAAAGGCTTCATATAGTTATCTACGGATGTGCTAGGATAATGCAGTTTGTTTGTGGGTCGCAACCCCTTGTGGGGATGGGGCAGCGTTGAAAGACCCTTTCACAGGGGTCACCAGATTCATAACATAGCAAAATTACAGGTATGAAGTAGCAACGAAAATAATGTTATGGTTGGGGGTCACCACAACATGAACTATATTAAAGGGTTGCAGCATTAGGAAGGTTGAGAACCACTGGTAGGGTATGAAGTGATACCTGAACGGGATTGAGAGAGAAAGCCCCATGAGGTTCAGAGAACTGATTCCGTGCCTGCTGTTAGAATGAAGGATTGATTTCCCAGTTTTCATCTGTGGTGGTGACTGGAATTAGTCTACTCACGGAATTCCTGGGAACACAAGATTTATTTGGTTGAGCTATGCACATACGGTATTTAACACTGGTGCATAATCATGCATTACCTTCCAGGAAGGGTTAAGCTCTCGCTAGCAACCGATTAGAGTGGCCCTTTTCCCTCACACTTTCTAATATTTAAACGATTTTTCAAATATGCGTTCCTTTGGGCAAGCAAAGTGAGCATGTATGTTAGTCTGTTGATGCCTGTAGAAACCCATTCTACAACAGCTGATTACTCTTGAAACGATTTTAAAAGTTTTTATTCCTGTATAGGGACACATGTCAGGTGTATGTGTCCTTTGGTTTTAGTGATGCATCTCCTTCCATATTTGAATATTTACCCTTATTTGCATTTTACTGTTACATAAGTTTTCTCTATTTGTCTTTATCTGGAATGTGCTATGTTAAATAATGTGACTTCCAGACTTCTTGCCGTGTTATTGACTGAGTTCTTGAAATGTTCTTTTCTTTTGCTTTTCTCTATCCTAGGGTGTCACTATCAATTATAGAAGCTACTCTATTGATACAGTAGTTACGCAGCTTATTCAAAAATTCTTGATTATAACATTTATGCTCTCAGATCAAGTGTTCAATCAATTTAAATTATCCCCCTATGCCCCAAAGTGTCAGATTAATGAATGAATTTAGGGGAAAGGTGGCATTCCAAGGGAAATGTGGTAGTGATGTCTTTTTGTAAACTCTTTTACATATTCATGTAAAATCATGCTGTCTCCATATAGGTGTGCACATTTTCTACATTGTTTTGCTAGTCGAAGCTGGGGTCTGTTTATTTTTCTTAAGTGGCTGGTTATAGTAAGAGAACCAATAAATAACCACTATGCCACTTTTAAACATTGGAAAGTTCTGTTAAAATTTATTCATTGGCTTTGATACTTCTTCGAGTAATACTGTAAGCCAATGATTCCATTCTTGTTTTCTCAAAGAATGGCATGGCAATGCTTAAATCTTTTTCACTTAAATTTTCCATGGAATATGGTCTCATGAGGTGTAGGGAAGCTTTAGTGGCATAATAGCCTATGTGTTGGGCTGCTAAACCCCAAGGTCAGCAGTGCAAACCCACCAACTGCTCTGAAGGAGAAAGATGAGGCTTTCTACACCTGTAAAGATTTACAGCCTCTGAAACCCACAGGTGCAGGGCCATTATGAGTTAGAATTGACCCAGTGGCAGTGACTTTAGTTCTTTAAAAGCTGGGAAATGATCTGTGTTTCTAATACGTCCATGATTTCCTTCAGATGCCTTTGTGACATGGCCAGCTAATTTTTATTCAGCATAGGCATTCAGTGGAGACAACCCTTTTCCCCTAATCTTCCTGCCTGTCATTCCACACTCGAGTGTGACCCCAAATTATTGGGAATAAGGTGCTCAGTTAGTCATTCTGCCTACTTCCAGCTGACATGGTCAAGAAGAGGGGTTTGGGGTCCATATCCTTTTTGCTCTCTTGGGAAGGGTTGTCACCTACTTAGGGGGTCCATGGTGAATGGGGTTGAGGTGGTTCAGATATGGTGATACTGGGGATGGCAATCTTGGCTCGGTATCATTTGTCATCTGATGGCTTCCAGAGGAGACAAAGCAGGTGACCAGTTTAGGTGAGGGTAGGGCAAGAGCTATGGGATCCATAGGTTTTAAAAATTTGGCCTTTAAAAGCAGCTTGCCAAACCTCTCTTCCAAGGACAGGTTTGAGGCACCAACTTTTTGGTTAATACTTAACCGAAATGATAAGGTACAAATGGTTAGTGCTTAACCATTTGTATCATATTAAGCAAAAAGGCTTTGCTACCTGTTGATTTGTTTTTTTAACTTTTAGAATTAAATTCATGCTTTTGTTAACGTGTGTGTGTGTGTGTGTGTGTGTGTGAGAGAGAGAGAGAGAGAAAGAGAAAGAGAAACAAATATGGTATAGGGACTTCCCTGTGTTCTGTAGGAGACAAGCACTTAGCTTTGCGTTTTAACTCCTGCCTTCTCTGGAGATGAGTGTAAGGAGTGAGTTGTTTGCATTGACTGACACCTAGGTGACTCAGGTCTGTCTTTTTAGCTGAGAGACTTTAAGTGCTTTGTGTGCTGGCTTTGTATTATTGTGTGCCTTGGCACATTAGCCTTGCTTTGACACTTTCCAAATGAACTGTATGTCTTTAGAAAAATCAGATTTTAGAATATGTG